GGCGGCCACGGCGGCCTAGGGTTCTTATCTAGGAATAAAGTACGTAAATGGAGGAGAGAGGAAGGTACAGTAAAAGCTTGTAAAATCTGAAATGAAGCGCCTGGAGATGGCGCTTTTTAGTATCTGTTTTTATAGTAGAAGCAAGGAGGAGGTGGTGTTATAACAGCTAAAGTTAAACTGTGCTGTTAATTGTCACGGGTTGTTGTGATAACCAAAAACAAATTACTTGGATGATATAGTGGGCGAAAAGTCCCTCAGTTATTTGTTACAGAGAGCAGTCTGGCTACAGTCGGGAAGGCCGGGTGGGAGGAGTGGGGTTTTTTTTGACTTCGGGGTTTTTTTTGACTTTTATCGGAACCAGTGGTTTTGTGTTGGGGGATTAGTATGTGATAGTCTTATTCCACAGTGGGAATTTATTGTTCTTTCTAGATGCGGAGAATGAGTTAAATGCTTTTGTTAGTGTAGCGAAGTGTCAGAGCTTGTGATTATATTTTTAGGAATGGGTCATTCCACCTTTTTTGTAGTGGGAAATGCAGGAGGAAAGCTTGGATAGTGGTTGGGATGCTGGCTTTGAGCTATGGAGGCTTCATGGTTTTGTCATAAAGTCCTAGAATTTAATTATAACTTTAAACAATCCTGAGGCAATTTTCTTCCCTCAGTGTTGTCTCTTTATCTTCTGTCTAGTCAAGACAGAGGGGGATGTTCTTGCAGAAGGACATTCATAGGTGTTGTGGTTTCACTCTGGTTGGCAACTATGCACCACCTAGCCACCCACTCACCCCCCCCCCTCGCCTTTTACTCAGAAGAGTAGAAATGAGAAAACTTACGGGTTGAAATAAAGACAGTTTAATAGGTAAACCAGAAGCGATGCACACAAGCAAAGCAAAACAAACTTATTCACTGCTTCCCATCAGCAGGCAGATGTTCAGCCATCTCCAGGAAAGCAGAGCTCTATCACATGTAATGGTTACTTGAGAAGACAAAACACCATCACTTCCAACATCCCCCGCCACCCACCTTCCTCCTTCTTCTCCAGCTTTATATGCTGAGCATCATATGGCATGGGATATCCTTCTGGTCAGTTGGGGTCAGCTGTCCCAGCTGTGTCCCTTCCCAACTTGTGCACCCCCAGCCTACTCACTGCTGGAGTGGTATGAGAAGCACGAAAGACCTTGACTCTGAGTAAGCACTGCTCAGCAATAATGAAAACATCTCTGAATTATCAACACTGTTTTCAGCGCAGATCCGAAGCATGGCCTCATACTGGCAACTGTGAAGAAAAATTAACTCACCATGGGAAGGTGTCACTGAACTGAGTGCTGCTGAATTGACTGTGCTGTGTGCATATGCTTTGTATAGGTTAGTTTGATACTTAGGTATGTTGCTAAAGTGGTATCCCAAGGAAGAAAACATAAAGGAAACTTTTGTGAATAATTTGTGTAATGCAGAAAAAATACAGATGTTTCAAGTTATAAAAGTATTTACAGGTGAAAGTAGGTGGTGGTTGGAAAATAATTCATGAGAGTCAGTAGTACTTAAGAAAGGTGATCTCTGAATTAGTGAGGTGTAGAGAAATCCTCATGATTCTGTGGTATTCAAAAGCAGCCACTGAGCTTTCTGCTCAAGTTGGTTCAAGGGGAACAAGCTTGATGAGATCTGTTGCTTGGATGTCTGTCCAGGCACAATCTGGGATTTACTATATTATAGTATGTCATATAGAAGTCTGAAATTGAGGCCTACCAGTAGGAGTGGTACCTCATTTACCATTCTCTTCATGTTGTTTAAAGAGCATTACTTCTCTTTGGTGGCTGTGTTTGAAGTCTTATCAGAATGGTGATCTGAGGTCTGTCTTGGTGGACACCAGAACAGGCTGAGGATTATTTTGAGTGAACACTTCTTCTAAAGAAGAAAGTTCCTGAAAGAGAGTAACTGTAAACAGGTTCTAAACATTTCAAGAGAAGGTGTCATCTTGTATACTTTTCAGTAGAGAAGTCGATTGCTATTGTTTTTTCTTCTCTTTGTCTCCCCATATTGATTGAGTTTTCTGTGTCCTTTATTGCCATGTGGGGAAAAAACACCTATTTGGAATGTAAGTTAATTGACTGTGATGGGGCTTAATGACTACAGGGGGAAAGCATTCAGCTTCAGATTTCTTCAATTTTATTTTATTTGCACGAAATTATTGTTACATTTGTAATATTTGTCAGAAGACAGCAACAGCTATTATTTTTCTGTCATCTGGTTGCAACAGCACATACCTAACATAGCAAATGAGTGACACATTAAAAAAAAGTGAAAAAATATTCTGAAGGAAGTATTAAGTGTAGTAGCAATTTTTTCCCCTGCTGTTTCACCTGAGAAGAATCTATACAAAGTTTTCTATTATTTTTTTTGTAACAAAACATTGTCTTAGGTATGAATTGAGGGCAGTCTTTGCATCTCTTAAGTGTTGATGATCTGTTCCTACTTCTGTATTTGCAAATCTAGTGATTATTTTCTTTAAATCATGCTTATATTTGAAAACCAGGAAATGTAGCCTCTTTTTTTTGCTTTGTGAGCTTGTAATCTGTCATGCATACTTAAACTTTCTTTTGTCTGTAAATAGAGGTACTAGCTAATACTAGTCCTCAGTAAAAGTCCATTAAGTCCTCAGTTAAAAGGCAGTGTATAAGATATGCAATTATAAGTCATGGTTTGGAATGGGGATATGCTTAAATAGTTTAAACAAGCTTAATTAATACATAGTTTTTTTTCCAGGCTACTGTTCCTCTGAGTCACCTTATTAATGCCTTTCATTCACCAAAAAGCTCCACTACTGCTGCCAGCACAGCATCGGTACAGTCTGTCCAGAGGGACACCTCCCCAGAGCACGATCCTCAGAAAAATGAGGTATTAAAAACTCTTGGAAAAAGCGGTGGTTTGCTTTTAACCAAATTAAATCTGAATTTCAGTTTAAGTGAATTTAATATTTGGTTAATTTTATAAAATAATATCATGTGACTAATGAAACAGGATGTTAATACATAGAATGTAACTTTTTGATAGAACTTCTGTAAGTCTGCTTTGGCAGTGAGGACTCTATGAAAGTACAGTATTTCATTAATAAAAGAAGCTAGTACTTGTCTCAGTAGTAATTTTCAAATGAGAAGACGATTTGTTTTCAAATTCAACTTAATGTTTCTTGCTGTAAAGTAAAAATAACTTTTCTGTTAACCTCTATTGTGTTTTCAGGCTGTGAGTTGTAGCAAAGTTTGTTTTGTTATTGCTTGTGTGAGAAAATGGACTGTAATGTAAAATATGTTAAGGGATTATAATTAGATAGATTAAATAGCATATTTGCACGTTTTCTTATTTTTTTCTATTAAAATATAATTCATTCTCATCAGGTATTTTATTGTTCTTCACATTGAAAATCAAAATACAGGAAGCACCAAGTAGTATCAGATCAGATGGTTTTTGGCACTTTTTTTTGCGATTCTGTATTTGCTTCTGGTGATAAATTTTGGTTTC